GTCCATACTCCTCTTACACTGTTTCCTCTTTCCAATTATTTTCTCTAAATTAGATATGTATAGAGAAACAAAGTGACACAGAGTTAGATTTGAGTTGACCAGAGAAAGTGATTTGGTTTGGTGACAAAACCAAAAAAAAAAAAAGTTAGATTTGATTAATGTTAGAGTATCATATAATTTCTCATGTTTTCTTATATATAAAAGATTATGAAATACAACACACCTAAATTGTTAATTCAAATTCATTAAAACCCTTAATCCAATAACACCCCTTAAAAGAATATAATATTTTGAATATAGGTCTAAATTATGTATATATATTAAGTTTTTTTTTGCCCAAAAAAATATATATTAAGTTTATAATTTACTACTACAAATTAAGGAATTTAAATAGACTATACCATACCATAATCGACACTATGTTATTGTACAAATCGTTATGTTCCAAATTCAACAGTTTTGACGGATTGATTTGTTTATAGATGTTGAAAAATATTTATATATTTTAATTTATTTTGATGGTGGTGAACTATGACCCTAGTTGCTACATTTAAAGTTTTAAACCTTTTAAGAACAAATAAATGGTAAATTTACAATAATTGTTTTCAATAAGTGCAACTACTGTAAATGGGAAATATATTTAGGAAATAAACAACAATTTGATCGATAATTTATTTTATTTTCTTTTTAATTTAAGATAAATACTAGAGCAAAAAGTGAATCTTAAATATTTTTCATCCAAAAAAATATATATTATTCAATCGTGTGTTAATGAGAACAAAAAGATATACAAATAACCGAAAAAATAATGAAAAAAGAGAGAGAGAGAGAATCAAAAAAGTAATAAATAGGCTTCCTTTCTCTCTCTCTTTCACATTCATTCTCTCTTTGTTATAATAAAACCTCGTGGCTCGAGATCTTTTCTCACAGATTCTTCTCTCCAGAAATTTGCTAGCCTCGAAATAATAGTAGGCTCTCTCTTATTAATTATCCTCTTCCTCTCTCTGATTTCCCCCATTTTTTCTTTTCTTTTCGTGTTAAAAATTGAATTCGGCTCTCTCTCTATCTTTCTCAACTCTGCCAAAAGTGCGAGTTGCCCTCGATTCCTACTTTGTGAGTACCACACTAACTCCGATAAATCGGCGTAAATTTTCGATTTTTGGTTTCTGGGTTCAATACCCTTTTCCCCAATCTGGTTTCCACTCTGTGTGATCGATCCCCCTTAGCTCTATGAGTTTTGATATCGAACTGTTTGATCGTTTCTACTTGATGTGATTTTCTAGCTTTCGCTTGTGTGCCTCACCTACATTTTGATGATACTTTCCATATGCCGCTTATTGTTTCCTCTTACTATCACAAAACAATTTGATTGCTGCTTTTATCTACTCTTCTTATTGTATCGTTCCATGAATTTTTAAAGTGTAAATGTGAACTGTTCCTTGAAAATGTTCCGTACAATTCAGTCTTATCAATGTGCTACTTTGTTGTTCTTTTGTTGCAGGTTGGAATTTCCTGTTGTTGTTTGTTCACAATGGGTCAAGACAGCAATGGTATCGAGTTTCATCAGAAGAGACATGGTCTCTTGAAGGATCAAGTTCAACTGGTTAAGAGGAGGGATTCTGTTCGGTATGAAATAGTTCCTATTCAAGATCGCTTGTCATTTGAGAAGGGCTTCTTTGCGGTTATACGTGCGTGCCAATTGCTTTCTCAGAAGAATGATGGGATTATCTTGGTTGGGGTTGCTGGACCTTCTGGTGCCGGAAAGACTGTCTTTACCGAGAAGATACTCAACTTTCTGCCAAGTGTTGCTGTCATATCAATGGACAATTACAATGATTCTAGTCGGATTGTTGATAAAAACTTCGATGGTAACAATTTCATCTTTTTTACTTTTGGTTTCCTCAAGGTCTCTGGATGAATAAAGACCTATGTATCTATTGAGCTATTACAATTGTTTTGAAACTTAGATCCTCGGTTAACGGACTATGATACATTGCTCAAGAATCTTGAAGATTTAAAGGAAGGAAAGCAGGTTGAGGTTCCCATTTATGATTTTAAGTCCAGCTCTCGTGTTGGATACAGGTAATGGTTGACATGGTTGCACAGATTATATTTGCTGATTTTTCATCATTTTTTACTTTATCTAAACAAACAACCACTTGGTCTCCATTGTCACAAAATTTTGATACTACATTCACATATGCATGGTTAACCTTGGTATTTTGGTTTTGGTTATTCCACTGAAGACATTGTTTTTAATGCCATGCTTTGATTTTGCTAGGACCCTTGATGTCCCAGCTTCACGTATTGTGATTATTGAAGGAATCTATGCTTTGAGTGAAAAACTGCGACCTTTATTGGATCTTCGTGTGTCTGTTACTGGCGGAGTTCATTTCGACCTTGTTAAACGGGTTCTCCGTGATATACAACGTGCAGGCCAACAGCCAGAGGAGATTATTCATCAGATATCTGAAACAGTTTGTCCTCATTTCTTTATCTCCTGTGGCTGTTATTGGCTCAGTATATGGCCTGCTGATTGTTTATATTAACAACTTCACTGATTATGTAGGTATACCCGATGTATAAGGCTTTCATAGAGCCAGATCTCCAGACTGCTCAAATTAAAATCATCAATAAGTTTAACCCTTTCACTGGTTTCCAGAGCCCGACTTACATCTTGAAGGTTTGAAAATAACCTGAATTATCTATCCATTTTTTAATATTCAACTATTGACTGTATTTTGTAAACTAAAGTTCTTTTGCTATTACAATGTTGTAGTCAAGAAAGGATGTATCTATTGATCAGATCAAGGAGGTCCTTTCTGATGGACATACGGAGACTAAGGAGGAGACCTATGATATATATCTTCTCCCTCCAGGTGAAGATCCAGAGTCTTGCCAATCATATTTGAGGATGCGGAATAAAGATGGAAAGTACAGCCTTATGTTTGAGGTTTGTTCAGAGTTTTCTGACCTTGTTTTCATCAATATGACTTTTCATTGTTTTCAATTTCTAGAAAACCTGACCATCCTCTGATTCTGTAAATGGTAAGATGATTAATATTTGGTGAATAACTGTGGTTCTGGTTTTGACATCCAGGAATGGGTTACAGATACTCCTTTTGTCATATCCCCAAGGATTACATTTGAAGTCAGTGTTCGTCTACTTGGCGGGCTTATGGCATTGGGATACACAATAGCAACTATACTTAAAAGAAACAGCCATGTATTTGCTACTGATAAGGTGTTTGTGAAAATCGATTGGCTTGAGCAACTGAATCGTCACTACATGCAGGTCTGTCTATCTAAATTCTTTCACCACCATTTCTAGAAAATTGATAGCATCTCGGCATAAAAAATGTAAAAGGAAATGTATAATAGTTCATCTGGCTATATTATAATGACATACTTTCTTATAAACAGGTGCAAGGTAAAGATCGGCAACTTGTACAGAGTACTGCACAGCAGCTAGGATTGGAAGGATCGTTCATTCCACGCACCTATATTGAACAGATCCAACTGGAAAAATTAATAAATGAAGTAATGGTATGCTGGTCGGAACTATGAATTTTGTTTGATTACATTTTATTTCGGGTCCTGATTAAAAGTCCCATCACAGGCCCTACCAGATGATCTAAAGCACAAGCTTAGCTTAGATGAGGATTTGGTGTCTAGTTCAAGCCCAAAGGAAGCACTCTTGCGAGCCTCTGCAGATAGAGTAGCCATGAGAAATAAGAACCTCAAAAGGTACACTTCTTTTGAGGAGTGTATGAGAAAGCTTTGTTACTTGCAACCCATGTATCCTTAGTTATGCCATTTATGATACACAGAGGCATGTCACACTCATATTCAACCCAAAGAGATAAGAATATGTCCAAGCTTGCTGGTTATTCTTCAAGCGATAGGAGGTACGAAGAAAGAAATCACGACTCGCCAGCGAACGAGGTTCAAATTTTATCTCTTTCATTCCCTCTTGGCTACTTTGAAATCTTACTTTTAACTTAGGGGTGCACTTCTTCGGGGTTTCTTCTATTGATAGGGGTTTATGACTCAGCTTTCTGAACAAATATCATCTCTCAACGAGAGAATGGATGAGTTCACAAGTCGGATCGAAGAGCTTAATTCAAAGTTGAGCTGCAACAAAAACTCTCCAACACAGCAGAGCTTGTCAATCCAAACTGAAGTCTGCAATGGCTCAGCTCCTACTTCGTATTTCATTTCTGGTCTGGACAATGGCTGCTTGACAAATTCCATAATGCCCCATTCATCATCATCCTCTCAGTTAGCCAAGGAATCACCATTAATGGAAGAGGTAAGTCCTCACTCATCTCTCGTTTATGAATTTGGATTTTATTGCATTGCTTTGTAAAGCTGAGCTGATCTGTTTCTGGTGCTACCAGATATCGACCATATCACGTGGACAGCGCCAAGTGATGCATCAGTTGGATAATTTGTGCAATCTGATGAGGGAAAGCTCAGCGGAAAGGTCACGCCTAGCAAGAACAGGGAGCAGCAATAGCAGTAACAGAGGCAGATCAAGCAAAAGCTTCTTCTTGTCCAATGTGGAATCTAAGAGGCTCCCTCTCGTATTAACCTTGGCTTTTTGCAGCGTAGGCTTTATAGTGATCAAGAGCTACATTAACAAGCGGCAATAACATCTATTAACCACTATGGATCTTCTCTTCTTTTTTTCCTTTTGGTATTTTTCTCATTGGAGGCATTTTGTGAGCTTCCCTGGTTTCTCTACGTGGATAATGACACCAGTTCTCTTCCTGCTAAACTAGTCGTTTGGAAGACATTCCCGATTTATTTATTCAATAAAGTTTAATTTTTAGTTTAGTGGTCACTTACAAGATCAACACACCTGGATGCAGTTGAACACAAACGGAGAAGGCTAAAAGTATCAAATCTATAAACTGGTAGACTCGTCCAGTACTATTATTTATATCTATACTCGTTCAAAGGAAAAAATCTAGAGTTGTTAAAAATGAGACATGTCGTTGAAATGAATGTTCGACACTGGTTTTAATATATGCCAACTTTCATAACACCATAACACTAAAGGAAGTCTTCAAAGCCAGTTGCTTTTACATTGGGTTGAATGTTGTTTGTTTCAGCATATATAGGTGATGATGACTGAGCTGTGCCATTGTTAACCATTATATATGCATATAGACACCACCACACCTACTTTATAAGTATTACATATATGTTCCACCACAATTGCTCAAACCATATTTGGATTCTCCAATGGAGCTGCAAAAAATAGGAGCTGAACAGAGATCCTGATTTCCATCATATAGCTTTGTCCAACCAAGCTGGTAATCTCAATGAAGATTTCATTCCAAGTCTTGTTAGGAAGATCGAGTATAGCAGATGTAGCAACAGCACAAAGAATCCACTGTTTAGCAACAGCTGTCGAGGATAAAAGCACAGGGTTCTCAGCTTCTTCCATTAATTTCCGGATATAAATAGAGAGAAGCAGGATAAAGAGATTGCGTACCACTGTCCCAAATATCATATAAATGAGGCTCATTGAAGGCATTATGTTCAGACCCATGGCCGTGAAAACATAAGAGAGAGAGGCGTGGATGTTAATTGTGATCTGCAACAACAAGTCAGTGGTGATTTTATTTGTAAACGAGTTTCTTTAGGTGAAATAGAGGGATGGGTTTTTGAGGGAAAGAGGCTTACCACAGCGAGAATATTTTCTCTTATTAAGAAGGATGATGTTAGAACATAGCCTATGAGACCCAATGCTCGAACCTGTGTGGGAAGAAACACGATAATACAAGTAAACAAGGAGATATAAGGAAATATTCAATGTACTGTGTAATCGCAGGAAGCAAACATTTTACCATTGTGCACAAGAAAATCGAGAGACGCCAGCTTGCCCCCATCCTGAGAACAGAAAATATAGACAGCTGAGATAATGCTAAACTGAAGTAATAAACGTCAGTCATTTTGTTCAAGAGTAAAGACAGGAAATAGTAAGTGTTTGTGTTGCGGTGGAGAACTAGAAACTGTGCAAGATAGAGAGGAGTTTATGAATTCACATACCTCCACAATGATCCTAGTGCAAGGCCCAGAAGACCATGAGTAAGCTACAAGATAAATCTCCACAAGTTAAGCTACAAGGTTAAGTATCAGAAGATAAAACTTTGCTTGGGAAACTAGCAAAATGGAGGCTTACAAAGTAAGTTAATGCTTTGACCGGACCTGATAATATGAACAATAGCATGACAGTAGCAACCTGGCAAACAAACAACACCAGAAAGACTTGAAGGACATATCGGCAAAGACTTCAAAATTCTATTAACATGAAAGAAGAATGTTGTTTACAAACCATTGTCTTCCTGCCTCCTGCAATATTCCATCTTATCGAAGATATCACAATTGGCAGCGCGAAGAAACACCCAAAGTAGTTCTGCGCTCAAAGTGTAACTCAGACTGTTAATAAAAAGGAATAAGTTGTTACTTCTATAAAATATTTATCACAGTAACGATCAAACACAAAAAAGAATGATGATTCTTACACATCCTTTGTTTCCAAAGACTAATTTTTTTTGCAGTACCATGCAAAACAGAACCTCAACACTCTATCCTAACGAGAATTACAGAGCCAAGGGAACATATGAGCTAAAACTTCTTGAGATTTAAGCTTAACTAGTAGAACACCTAATGGATTTTGTATTCTTCATCAAAACATTTATCATTGGTTTCTTCGCTAGGAATTGCAGAATCCGTAAAACTAGTAAAATTCAAAAAGGGGGAGAAACCTCAATGGCGAGAGAATTGCTGAGGAAGTAAACAAGGCCTGTGACAGCAGCAAACATGGCACACTCCACTAGTCTCAGCGTTTTCTGGTAAACCACTTCATCTCCCTCCTCCGCCGCTTCTTGTTTTTTTCCATCATCTTGAATACCTGCAACCGAAGCACCAGAGACGCTCGAGATTGCGAAGCAGCTTCGGTTAGAGATAGGAACGAGAGAGATTCTGGGTCTCTGTACAGAGAGTGACAGAGAAGAACACGAAGAAGCAAATGAGTGCGTAGGGGCAAAACGGTAAAACTGAGAAATGGTAGACTGGTGTTGAATCGTTTTGAGGAGATTCATGGAGTTGACGAAGAAGAAGCTCTCTTCCACAGAACGCCGAAGCTCTCTCTCTTCTCCTCTCCGTCTATCTTGAGATAACTGTTCGATTGAAATTACACAAACCGGATCTATACCAATTTAAACCGACGGGTATAGATCCGGTTTGGTAAAAGTTTTCTTTGGTTGCTTCTTTCTTCTCCAACCTCTCTCTATAAAGGTTTCGACAGCAAAATCTGGGAGAGGGGAACCAAACTCCATTTCTACTGTGTCTCTCCGACATCCTCCTATAGCAAAGGGACAAGCGGGAAACTGAAAATTGAGGAAAGCAAAACTCAATTTTCAAACAGCTCAATTTTTAGTTTTGATCCCAATCTGGAATTGAAACAATGGTGGTCGACCAAGATCAGCAATGGCTGCTCGGTTGCTTATCAGCAAGTCTTGACCCTAACCAAAACGTTCGTTCTTTCGCTGAGACCTCGCTCAATCAGGCTTCTCTTCAACCAGGTTCGTTGCTTAACTCATTTGAATTACTTTCAAGCTCGTTGCTTCTCTTTCTAGATTCTCCTCTGATAGTCTATTTGAAACGTTTGGGAATTTTTTAACTGAACACTGAACATATAACCTCCTCGGTCTTGTTCTTGTTGTCATGAGTTCTGATATATGAACAAGTGAAGGAGATCACTCATAAGATGTTTGTTTCTTGTAGGGTTTGGCAGTGCATTGTGCAGGGTTGCTGCTAACAAAGACCTCTCTTTGGGATTGCGCCAAATATCCTTTACATTGCATTGATTTGCTATCCTTCACTATCTCTCTGGAGCTTTTTGATTGATATAATGAAGGGTTTCCCTTTTATTTTCTTAACCTACTGTTGTTACCTAGCTGCTGTCCTGTTAAAGCAGTTCATCAAAAAACATTGGCGAGAGAACGAGGAAGCCTTTGAATATCCTGTTGTCTCAAATGAGGAAAAGGTACTCTCGCTATCCTCTTTTTATTGTTTGTTTGGATTTACCACTGCCATATAGTTTGTATATGTTTAGGAAAGTCTTTTGCTTATGTTATTAGGCTCTGATTCGAGGACAACTGTTGGGCTCACTTGATGACTCTCATCGAAAGATCTGTACGGCTATTAGTATGGACATATCGTCAATTGCCACATATGATTGGCCAGAAGAGTGGCCTGAGCTAGTGCCTTTTCTCCTGAGGTTGATTAGCGATCCAAATAACATTAATGGAGGTATATTTGCGTTCAATTTTGTTGGCTCTAGAGCAAAAATTCTTTTTTATTACCCAATTTCTCTACTCTTTCGTGAGAATGGTTACGAGGTTTCCTGAGGCTGAATTTGTTTTCATTTTCAACAGTTCATGGAGCCTTGAGGTGTTTGGCTCTTCTCTCTGGTGAATTGGATGACAAAGAGGTTCCTACACTGGTACCTGTGCTGTTTCCTTGCCTGCATGAAGTCGTATCCTCTCCTCAGGTTTAGATCATTATATCGATACAATCAGACTAATGTTGAATCATGTTTTTGGCATGTCAAGTCTCTTACGTGAAAATACTAGTGACGGAGGCCCTTATGGAGCTCACTCCTTTGTATGATTAATTTTCGTTTTACATGTAGAGCTATGACAAGTATATTCGAGGAAAAGCCCTTTCAATTGTTTATTCATGTATATCTGTTCTTGGAGCAATGAGTGGTGTGTACAAGGTACCTTTTCCTTAATAATTTTTACTAAACATACACCTTGAATGTGATTGCTTGAGCCACTTCTGTTATCAGTTGACATATATTATGTGGTGTTCAGACGGAAACTACTACTTTAGTGATGCCTGTGCTTAAGGTTTGGATGAATCAGTTTTCACTTATACTGGAACATCCTGTGCAACATGAGGATCCTGATGATTGGAGTTTAAGAATGGAGGTTCGTCTCATCTTGTAATTGTCCTACTTTTGTTCCCATTTAACTCCCAGAATTGTTTACAGGCACCTGTCTTTGCGTTTGTTTTACCTCCTCTCATTAGGTCTTGAAGTGCTTGAATCAGTTTGTACAGAATTTCCCAGTTCTCATCGAAAGTGAATTGATGGGTATGTTCTCGTGTTTTTCCCATGTATCTTTTTTTCATGCATATGCATGTGAAGTATTGCTATTGAAACATAATCTTCGTGCAGCTATTATGAGGCCATTGTGGCACACATTTGAGTCATCTCTACAAGTCTATCTTCGATCGTCAATTGAAGGTGCTGAAGATTCATATGATGGAAGATATGATTCAGATGGTGAAGAGAAGAGTCTTGACACTTTTGTCATCCAGGTAACTTACCATTTTCAGTGATCAAGGTTTTCCTTCAAGGTCTCAATATCGAAGTTAATCTTTTGGTTAGAGCTGGGGCATTTGGCTCATAAAATGTGGTATTTTGATGAGTTTGAGTTTGAGGCCAAGCGAGACTCTTTTTTTGTGCAGTTATTTGAGTTTCTGTCAACCATCGTTAGCAGTAGAAGACTGGCAAAGGTTTGGCTGAAACCCTTTCAAATTTTTTCCCTTTCATTTTGATCGTATGTTGCTTTGATATTGGTTTCTTACGGAAATATTTTTTATTTCAGACCATTTCCGGTAATGTCAGCGAGTTGGTATATCAAACCATCGGTTTCTTGCAGATTACAGAACAACAGGTTGGGATGAATTACACATCTTCTGCCTACTCAGAGATGATAGTATATATTGGTTATATTTGGTCTCTTAAAACTTGAATCTATCTGGGGAAGCTTTACGAAGCTAGATAGTCTATAGATATCTGACTGAGTAATTGTTTTGTTGTGCAATAGGCTCTTCTCCTTTGTTTAACGAACTTATCTCTTGCTATTTCAATGAGTAAACGACTTGAAGGCTTATCCTTTTTACCATTGCTCTGGAACTTTTGTTCTCTTTGTATATCCCTTATTTCCTTAGAAATAATATCTGTTTCCAATTCATATGTTTATTATGCAGTTTGACGGTATCTCACTGTATCAAGTCATTGTTGGAACCTTTTCATTCTATTGTTAGTAATAGGATCACGAACTGTTGGGGCAATAGAACGATTGCTGTGCTTATATATTGTTTGCCATGTATTAATTTCATGTTGTGGTTTATGTACGCTAATTGGCCGCTAAAACTCTTAAAACAACAAGATTTGTAGAATCTTTAGCTATCTCAGATACAAGATATAATATGATGTTTTTAGCTAGCTGTGTCACCCCGTAACATTCCATCATATTAGGTCTCACAAAATTGCACAGAATCTTTTCTTGTTATTTGTGGTAGCTTCCTATTGGTTTGCTAACATAATTTTAATTATTATATGGTTTATATGCCTTAACATCGGAGATAAGAAATGCCTTTATTCTTTATCTCACATGTAGCTTCCTTCCAGGTTCATACTTGGTCCATGGATGTAAATCAGTTTGTAGCCGATGAAGATGAGGGTAGCTACAGTTGTCGAATATCAGGTAAGATGTCTCTCACTCTTCTTAAGTCATACTCATATGCTTATGCTTAGTCTGGGACAAGATTCAGAGGTCGAATGCATACATCAATATCCATAATTTATGACCATGTAACTATAAAACTACTTGATGCACCACAGGAATACTTTTGTTGGAGGAAGTTATCAATACTTTTGGTAGCGAAGGGATCAATGCTGTTGTTGATGCTACCGGAAAACGGTTCCAAGAGTCTCAAAATGAAAAGGCAGCTGGTTCTCCAGCCTGGTGGAGAGTAAGCACACTTAATTTCTCTTTGTTATTGTATTTCTTGAAAGATTTGACAAGCCCATTTTTGCTCTGATATTTTCACATTGTTACCAGTTCTCTGAATTTCTATATCTTTTCCTCCCCTGTTCAATTTTTATTTAAATTTACAATTTTTCCATTTGTTAGGTAAGAGAAGCTGCTCTCTTTACTTTGGCTTCTCTTGCTGATCAACTTGTTGAAGCTGAGGTTTGTGTTTTCCGTGGTAATTTTAAAATGAGAAAGTTACTTATGCTGTAAAACATGCTATCTATAATATTATACTCTTGTCAGGACTTGACAACTGACCCTGCCTTAGCTAAATTTGTTGAGCAATTGATTATGGAAGATACTGGAATTGGTAGGTATCGCAAGATCTAATGCTCCAACATTACTTTTCATTTGGTATACAAAATGTTGTACATAACTGGAGCCTTTATTTGACAGGGTATCATGAATGTCCCTTCCTTTATGCCCGCATATTTACAGCTGTTGCTAAGTTCTCTTCTGTGGTAATTTTTTAATTTTCTTTTCTCTCAGAATAACCTAGATCTAGAAGATATGAATTACATATTTTTCACGTTAATCAGATCAACCCTGGAAATCTTGAGCACTTCCTCAATGCTGCTGTTAGAGCTATAAACATGGATGTGTATGTTTTCTATCCTTCTCCTGTTAGTATACTTATCGTCAGAGATTAAAGTTAGACACTGCAACAAACAGGCCGCCACCTGTAAAAGTAGGCGCATGTCGGGCACTTTTGCAGCTCCTACCTGATATGAACCATTCAGCTATTCTGCCTCAGATCATGAATTTATTCTCATCTCTCACTGATCTTCTCCATCAGGTAAATTTTCTACCCGCGACCTTTCAGCATAGCGCGTGTGTCTATTTTCCTTTGTGTCACTTGAGATGTGTTATATTATTTTTTAGGCTTCAGATGAAACTTTGGTTTTGGTACTTGAAACTCTTCAACAAGCAATTAAAGCTGGTAAGTAAACATATTACTACTTGCAGCAAACTTTTGGAATCTAGTTATGCAATAGCTCCCCACTTATATCTTATTTTCTTTATCATTTGCTAGGCCATGACGCATCCGGTTCAATAGAGTCTATTATCTCTCCAGTGATTCTTAATTTGTGGGTTGCACATGTTTCAGATCCCTTTATGAGTATCGATATAATTGATGTCCTGGAGGTAAATAGAATGATTGCGGCTATCATTCATTTTTTCGTTAGAAATGCAATTTGTGTAGTTTGTTTACGCTAATCTCTTCGTCTTATATCATTCTAAAATGAAAAAGAAAAAAATACTTTGTCTGTGGCTAATGTCTTTCCTATTGCTGTCACGCAGGCAATAAAAAATTCACCAGGCTGCTTTCATCCACTGACATCAAGGATTTTACCATTCATAGGACCAATTTTAAATAAGGTGTTGTGCGGAATCATGATTTCAGACATTTTTTTACTCTATTTACTATCCTTTTTCCCTGGTTTCCTTATATCTATGGTGATAATCAGCCACATCAGCAGCCTGAAGGACTAGCGAGTGGATCCTTGGATCTTTTAACTATGCTTCTTAAGGCAAGTTATACTAGCTGGATTTCCATAGTACGTGAATAATTTTTTGTGCTAAATGGACAGTATTTCTCGTGTTTTGCTGACTATTTTTCTAGTCATATATAGGGTGCCCCAAGTGATATAGTGACAACTGCGTATGATTTTTGCTTTGCTGCTGTCATTCGTATCATACTCCACAGTGAGGATCATAGCGAATTACAGGTGATAAAAATTTCTGTGACTAATTTGATTCATCATTATCTATCAAAAAGGGTCACTTATCTCTAGCCTTTAATTGGTCAGAATGCCACAGAGTGTCTGGCAGCTTTTGTATCTAGTGGAAGACAAGAGTTGCTCACTTGGAGTGGTGATCCTGCTTTTACCATGAGAAGTTTGCTTGATGCAACTTCTAGGTACAGCTCTTCACTAAGCTTTTTTAGGTTTATTTCACGTCCACCAAAAGCTGAAGGCCTACTGTTTTGTGTTTTCTTTTTGCAATTGTTAATATGTGAATATATTGCCAACACTTATGCATGTGAGAAAAATATCAGTTGATTTTCGATTATACATTGGTAAATTTATTCACAGTCTTTTGTCCAAAACAAATAAAAAAAATATCTAGTCTTTACACCTGAAAAAGATCGGGCTTTTAGAGTAGCCTTCTGAATAATATTGTGATATATTTACATTTCTTGGGATCATTTGATAAAGTGTTTAGAGAACCTTGGTTTGTTTGTTCCTCAATGCTTTTGAATTGGTATCGTTTTAAGTCTACATCTTGTCTTTCTTTGCAAAATCGATTTCTTTATGTTGATGCAGGCTTCTTAACCCTGATCTGGAATGTTCTGGATCTCTCTTTGCTGGGAAGTACATTCTACAGCTTATCTTGCATCTTCCGTCAGAGATGGCACCCCATGTCCGGGATCTGGTTGCTGCTCTAGTAAGACGGTTGCAGTCTGCTGAAATGTCGGCTTTAAGAGGCTCATTGCTACTGATTTTTGCCAGATTGGTATTCTTCACCTTTGAGTTGGATAGTTTTAATATAAATGGTCCCTCTCTTCTTTGTAAGATGCTGTTAAGGCTTCAAAAGTTCACGAAAATTCTATCTGCGATTGATTTTTGCAGGTTCATATGAGTTTTCCGAATGTCGATCAATTTATCAATCTGCTTGTGAGCATACCCGCTGATGGCCATGAAAATTCCTTTACCTATGTAATGACAGAATGGACTAAACAACAAGGCAAACATTTCTATCCATATTGTTTAGTTGTATGATTCTATTTGTTTACCTTATTCATCGTGATAAGGATTTTTCTGGCTTTTCAACTTATTGTTGGTTGAGCATCTATTTTCAGGGGAGATACAATCCGCATATCAAATCAAAGTCACAACATCAGCTCTGGCCTTGCTACTGTCCACCAGACATTCTGAATTCGCAAAGGTTAATGTCCCAGGCAGTCCGATTCAGGTCTTATGCTGTACCTATCTTTTTTTTTTATAAACTCAATTTGCTATCAGCTTTACAGAAACTTGAGTCAATTTCTTGTATAGTCCAACGGTGGCATAATCACTCGCTCAAAAGCTAGATCCGCTCCTGATCAATGGACCATTATCCCTCTACCCATGAAGGTATGCTTTTGTTTGATTCCTTAGTCTAAATCTTCTCAATGTACAAGCTGCAAGTCAGAATACATATTCGTTGGGGATATACAGTTCTATCTTAAATCGGTCATTTCCTTCTTTCTTTTCATCATTCTGGTGTATGCTTTTAGAAACTTTACATTATTTAGCTCTTGCAGATACTGGCTTTACTAGCTGATACATTGATTGAAATCCAAGAGCAAGTTTTGAATAGTGAGGATGAGGTGATTATACTTCATTGAGTTTTTTTAATTCCTTTCCCATCTTCAAATTGATTGGAACTTGAGATGCTAGTTCCGTTCTTTGGAGTAGCAGGATAGTGAATGGGAAGAAATCCATGAAGGAGACGCTAAAGCTGCGAAAGACTTGCTACCTTCAGCTGGTGCCCTCCAATTCAGCAAACCCACATATGACCAACTTGAAGCAATGGCTCGTTTCGAGGTCCTTTTTTTTCTTTTACCAACATGGCTATTCCATTGAACCTTATCTCATCAGTGTTAACCATTGATTTGACAGAACCAAGGCGATGAGGTTGATGACCATCTACTTGGTACCGACCCCCTTAATGAGGTGACCTCTTGTGTTCTGCATATGTGTTGTAACTGCTCCTAATTCTCCAACTCGTGATCTGTTTCACCAAGTCTCTTTGTTCTCTGCAACAAACAGATTAATCTGGCAAGTTATGTGGCTGATTTTTTGTTGAAGTTTTCGAGTGAAGACCGGGCTCTGTTTGATAATCTTTGCCAGGTATGGTTACCATCCTCTATATAACCTATCAATTTCTTGAAACTTAATATGAACCACTTGGATTGTTTTCAAATATATGTAGGGGTTAACAAATGCGCAAAGAAACGTGATCCATATGGCACTGAACCGCTAGGCTAGGCTTGGGCGTCATAATTCACAATTCATGTCTTGAGTGATGTTTTTTTGTCCGCTGATTGATTCTTGGGGAGTAAAGAAGTGGTAGCATCCCTTTTATAAAAGTATCATTTTACACAAGTGTTAAAAATAGTGAAAATATCCTTGGAATTTTTAAGAGAGTAAATCCTCCAGTTTCATGATAAACCCTACAGTAAACCCTCAGAAACAATGTTGAAATTTTGCAAACAACGCTAATATGTTTTGTCATAAGCCCGTGGGAGTAATTGGGCTGAGTTTGGTTGCTGATGATGTACACGGGTAAGAGAACCCCGACCCGACCCGACACGGAACAATTAGATCCGCGTCTCTCTCTCGCTGGCTTACTCAAAGGAGCTGCAATAAAACAACGAATAAACCAATTCTAAATTTCATAGAATCGATCATCTATGGCGGTGATTACTCCAGCTACACGTTTCGCGCCGCCGCTGAATCGGCCTTTTCACCGCCGGTCGACACTCGCCTCGCTTCATTGCTCCTCTAAGAACTTCCTCTTCCTCGGAAAACCCACTCCGAGCTCGACGATCGTCGCGGTCCGGTGCCAGAAACCTGTTTCCGACGGGATTAGCTCTATGGAACCCATGAATCATGTCTCTTCCGCTGCATCTTCTGTTTCCTCTTCGATCGATTTCTTAACGTTGTGCCATCGGCTCAAGGTATGTGTTGAACCATATAGAATATTCAAAACAATGGGAGAGTAAACACTCTGAGAGTGGCTTTCGATTTTGGAATTGGAGATCTGCATAGCTATATTCATTGGTCACCATTGTCAAGTAGTGAACTATTTGTTGGTTCCTTCTTGTGTGTAGACAACAAAGAGAAAAGGGTGGATTAATCAGGGGATAAATGGACCTGAATCAATTGCTGATCATATGTACCGTATGTCTCTAATGGCACTTATAGCTGGTGATCTTACGGGAGTTGACAGAGAAAGGTTAGTATTTTCCTTCAGTGTTTTAAGTTTTCTTAGATGATAGAGATGTTTACATCTCTCTTCCAAAAATGATTGGTTCAGAGTGCGGGATCTAAGAGAAACTGAGAAAGAGTTTATGGACTAGTTACTGACTTGGATTGTGGACTTGATCTGGTAGAGAATTGTCATATTCGTGGAACTCAGAATGTATTGAAAACGTTGTGGAAGTTAAATGAAATATATGAGCAGCTAGTATAGTGAAATTATCGAAGTCAGAATTACAAAAACTGTGCTTTAAAACCTCTTTTTAGTCTTAAGTTGATTATTATGCGGGAAGGTTAAGGTATGCTAATATATGCATGTATTTTGAATCAGACACGTTCAGAGAGTTGATAAAGGATAAGATAGGAAGAACATCCATGAACTATTGATTTTGTGTGATTTAGCACTTGTTGTCAAACTATAGAAAATAGATTTCTCTTCTTTTTGGCTATTGGATAGTTCTCCGTCTTGCTTATTGGATATTTCTCCGTCTTGCTTCTTTTTCTTGGCTTCTTAAACAGGTGTATAAAAATGGCAATTGTGCATGACATCGCTGAAGGTAAATACACATTTGATCTTTGTTTTCAAATGGTAGGTTCACTATGTATAGTTTCTAGCTAGTTAAGTTTCGCTCAAAAATTACTAGGTGGTTTGGAGGATACAAACTTGTATAGATATGAACCCCTGAGTTGGGTAGGATATGTAACAGATACACTTGATTCATTTATGAAATTTTAATTTCCTGTGGAGATGGACCTAAACATGTATTGAAAGCTGATTACTTTGGTTTCTTTCTCTTAATTGTGCATGACATCGCTGAAGGTAAATACACATTTGATCTTTGTTTTCAAATGGTAGGTTCACTATGTATAGTTTCTAGCTAGTTAAGTTTCGCTCAAAAATTACTAGGTGGTTTGGAGGATACAAGATTGTATAGATATGAACCCCTGAGTTGGGTAGGATATGTAACAGATACACTTGATTCATTTATGAAATTTTAATTTCCTGTGGAGATGGACCTAAACATGTATTGAAAGCTGATTACTTTGGTTTCTTTCTCTTAATTTTCTGCAACTTCAATCCTACAAATTGTTCAAAGTCTTACCACTTACTGGCCTTTGAACAGCTATTGTTGGAGATATTACACCATCTGATGGTGTGCCTAAGGAAGAAAAGAGTAGGAGGGAGAAAGCAGCTTTAAAAGAGATGTGTGAGGTTCTGGGTGGAGGCCTCAGAGGTAGATACGCCTCAGTTAATGTCGTCTTCTAATGTTTTGGAAACCAAAACACTAATTTATAAGTCTAATGTCAATGTGCAGCGGAGGAGATCACAGAACTTTGGCTGGAGTATGAAAACAATGCTTCTTTAGAAGCAAATCTAGTAAAAGACTTTGATAAGGTAGTATTAGGTTTTGGCTTAGTTTGCGACCATCAATGCCTTTAACTTCTGTTGGCTGTTAAGAATCATAACTTACATAACAAATGGATACACTTGGGTTACACTGACTCTTGTCTTTATTGTGGTCTTAAGGTTGAGATGATTCTCCAGGCGCTAGAATATGAAGCTGGTAAGTCTTAATCTTAATCTTTCTAATTGCTTGTGCTTGTTGAGTTGTTGTTACTCTCTGTATCCCAAGAAATCTTACTTGACGCTTGAACATCATGGCAGAACACGGGAAAGTGCTTGACGAATTTTTCATATCGACAGCAGGTAGAGAACCCATCTTACGTTATTTTTGCTTAACAGTGTTAGACGTAAAAGAAAATCATCTGGTTTCATCAAATGCATCCACTTGAATTTCAAATGCAGGCAAGTTTCAAACCCAAATTGGAAAAAGCTGGGCCGCTGAAATCAACGCTAGGAGAAAAAGCCAGTTGACAAACAGACAGAGATAGTAAACTCCAGTTGCATCATACCTTTTTAGTTATCTCCCTCAACCCACTCAACGGTAGAATCCCCAAAACTAAGCAGACACCTCTTGAGCCAAAAGGTACAAGCTTCTAGTGAAAATTTCAGTTTTGTAGTTCAACGAACACAAGTCCCGGTTTTGACCTTCCCTTATGGTTTTACTAGTTTGAAGTAGGTCCAGACTTTTAGACATTCTGGTTAACATGAACTACGAACTCAAGAATATGCTTGTTTTTTTTTTGAGAAAAGTGATCACACAGTTTCTCTTATTAAAATCTTGATTCGAGCTTCCTAATCTGATTTTGTTGTAGTCACAACTCAAATAACCCAATTAGTAAGTATATATGGATGGACTTCTCTGACGTCCCCACTCAAACGCGTGTGCATAGTCATAGTCATTGTCACTGTTAGTAATGAAAGTTATAAGAAAGAGAGAGAGAGAGTCAACAGCTACAGAATCTGGAAAGATGTAACTGAAAGACACCAAATGGTTGTCACGTGTGTAACATTCTCTGTCTCCTTCATCTTCTTCTTATGCAATGATTGTGGAGAAGAAGGCGTTTGTTTCCTGTTCACACACACAGAGACTGGTTTTATATACAAAGTAAGATGAATAGCATATAATAATAACAAGATGTATATGTATTTTAATCAGACCGACACAATTTTATAATCAAGCAAAGATCCTCTCCATTAGCTCCAAAGTTTGTGAAGATGGAGAATGACATGTCATGTGTTAGAAACTAAAATTACCAAAAAAAAACATAGAAATGAGAAAGAAAGAACATAAAAGTCTTACTGTCGTATAATTGAAATTGGGTTCCACATTGCCCACTGCGATTTGTTTTCTTACTCCTTTTTGTTTTAATCGGGCATGGTATGTATGTAAGTGATGTGGAGAATGGTCCCAAAGTTGAAAATGTCATTTTCACAAATTTTAATATCCCACCACACACCAACAACGACGAGTGAACTATTATTTTTTTCTTATACATAAATTTTTCTGAACCAATCGTACCATTCATTATTATGTTATTATGAATTACCAAAAAAAAATATTATGTTATTATGTGTACTAAAGATATTCCAATTGTGAAATATTTAGCCCATACCACAAAGGGATCCTTACCTTCATCACTTTCACTTGCACTACAAACCTTTTTCTTTATGTCAATGTATTAAATTATGAATGTATTTGCACATGGTGCTATTGTAAGTCTATACTAATGCAAATATAGCAAGCTTGAGTCAATATATTTACACTCTTTTAAATTGGTTGAAAGTTTTACGTATGGATTTAAAATATCCAATGTCAAATCTATTTTATACGATTTTCGTATATTAACAATAAATATTTGTAATTTGGTGAAGATTTTCTTTAATCATAGTTTACATTTTTTTCTTTTCGACAACCATAGTTAACATACGAGTTGGAAAAAACACAAAAACAAAACTAATCTTTGATATGCGTATCGAAATCGTCAATTTGTTATTTAGGAAAAATAAGTAAGAAAGAAAAGGAAAAATAGAAAAAAAAAAAAAAAGAGGGTATGATTTATTTTGACCATTGATTTAACGTTGCAGTAAAGCATTATTTCTCCTTTACGATGGATGTTGCATATTTGCATATCAACCAAAAAAAAAAAAAGTTTGTCTTTTAACTTGCATAAGGATTTTTCTTATTTTCCTTCCGCTTGTTTGTTTGATGCGCACAATATTATTTTCTGATTCATCCATCAATCCCAAGCTTTTTCATTTTTTTCTTCTTCCCCTCCACAGAGAGAGAGAGAGGCTTGACAAAGTTTGAACCTTCATGTAGCCAAATTTTGCTTAAGCTTTGGAAACGCAATCTCAATGAGGTGAGCAGAAAAACCCATAAACGAGAGTGGTCAGAGAGAGAGAGAGAGAGAGACAAGTTACTTTACTTGGCCATATTAGAGCTAACACTAGTACAGTTTGGTTTTGAGAAGCCGAGATTTTTTTTGTTATTGTGAATTGTGGTGTTAAAGGGAAAGCTTTTTTACATAGATCCGTAGTTGTTTGCATTTGTCTTCTAATCAGGTAATCTCGGTTAACCGGAATTTTTTTCTTTTGGGTGATTTTTTTGGTTTTGCTCTCAAGTTCATTTCACGATCTGGGGGGTTTATCTTGTAAAATCCTTTTCTCGGTTCTCTCTGTTTTATATTAAAGCCTCTGTCCGAACTTGAGATTAGCAACAATGTGTTGGGTGCTGTGTGATTTTTAATTTGGTGAAGTTTGGTCCTTCGAGGTTTTACTACCAAAGTCTGGGAATTTTGGTTCTGCTTTTTTATACAAGTGAAGCTGATTGTTCAAATTTCATTAAATTTCAGTTCTGATTGACAAGAGCGATGATGAAAATGTTGGAACTTGGTCTTCTGCTTTAGATGGCAACACCTGTACAGGCTCCTACGGTTGAGGTATCACCGCCTACTACACCATTGACGTCGCCTCCACCAATGGCGTCGTCTCCACCGCAGCCGTCGTCTCCCGGTGATAATGCTACTTCCCCAAGTAAAGAACCCATTAATGGCAATTCACCGGAGACCCCAATCACTCCAGCTCAGTCTCCTCCTCCTCCTCCGGTGACTCCAGTATCATCCCCACCGCCAGAACCTTCTCTCTCACCACCTCCACCAATTGGAGCTCCTCCCCCTGTTCCTACTCCACCCGACCCGCCAACAAATCCATCACCTCCGCCTGAGAGCTCTCCCCCTCCCCCTCCACCAGCTGATCAGCCTGTCATTTTACCACCTCCGTCACCTGCTCCACCCTCGAGACCATCAGTTCCGCCACCGGAAGCCACTCCACCACCACCTGCACCAGACTTACCAATATATCCACCTCCGCCACCTACATCAGACCCACCATCACATTCATCTCCACCTCCTCCAAGTCATTTGCCTTCCCCACCAGCCTCAGAACGTCCTCCGCCTCCTCCACGGGATCCAGAACCTTCTCCTCCTCCACGGGATCCACAACGTCCTGAAAAGTCTCCTCCACCGGATCCTAAACCCCCTACTCCTTCATCTCCTCCTCCACCGGATTCTGAACGCCCTGCTCCTTCATCTCCTCCTCCACCGGACTCAAAACGTCCTGTGCATCCTTCACCTTCGCCACCAGAGAAAATTACCCCACCTCCCAAGCCAAGTCCACCTATCTCACCTTCTAATTCTCCCCCACCACCCTCATTTGTATCCCCGCCTTCGCCTCCTAAAGAATCTGTGCCAGGTTCTGATAATCCATCTCCAAACAATCCTACTCCTGTGACATCTAATTCCAGCGATTCCGGTGATAGTACAGCGGCTGTCGTGGGTGTAAGCATTGGAGTGGCCCTGTTCCTGCTTGGTCTTATTGGAGTTGTTGTGTGGTGTGTCAAGAGACGGAAAAAGACGCTCTCCTCCATTGGTGGTGGCTATGTTATGCCAACGCCTATGGATTCCTCCCCAAGATCAGGTATAAGTTACTGTTAACCTTATCTCATCTATTTAATATCAGGAAGTTAGTCTTTATCTTCATTACTGTGGCTTAGCTAGCATCGCAGAAATATGTTTTCATGTATGTATTGATGGCTGAAATCTTAGACAAGACATTTACTTCAAACAATGGTTATCTAGAGATTAAGATAGTTTATGTCAAGAGTGTATAGTTGTGGATATTGCTATGTATATTTGATTATCAGTGTTTCTGGATTTTCATCTCCACATCTTTGTTATCCAGATTCAGCGCTTCTCAAGACGCATTCATCCGCACCTCTAGTGGGAAATCGTTCTAGCAATCAAACACATTTTTCGCAGTCAGAACCTGGTGGTTTTGGTCAATCGAGGGAACTTTTCTCATATGAAGAACTTGTCATAGCAACAAATGGATTCTCTGATCAAAATCTATTGGGTGAAGGTGGGTTTGGTCGTGTATATAAAGGAGTCTTACCAGATGAAAGAGTAGTTGCTGTGAAACAATTAAAAATAGGTGGAGGACAAGGTGACCGAGAGTTCAAAGCCGAGGTTGACACCATAAGCAGGGTACATCATCGGAATTTACTTTCTATGGTTGGATACTGCATTTCAGAGAACCAGAGATTGCTTATCTATGATTATGTCCCTAACAACAATCTTTACTTCCACCTTCATGGTAAGCTATATTTCAAGACATATAATCATAAACACAAACCACTCTTACTTATACTATCTTTCTTTGGTCTTTAGCCGCAGGAACTCCGGGTCTAGACTGGGAAACACGTATTAAAATTGCTGCTGGTGCGGCTCGTGGACTAGCTTATCTTCATGAAGATTGTAGGTTGCTGCAACTCTTTCACAAAATTATGGAAAAAAGTTTCCGAATCAAAATTATCTCCGATCTTATTTTCTGGTTCCTGGGGACTAAATTATTTGGATGATTGTAATGGTAAAATTTGACAGGTCATCCTCGTATCATACACAGGGACATCAAATCATCCAACATTCTTTTAGAGGATAACTTTCATGCTCTGGTATACATTTATCTACTCTTGCATCTAGTCCAACCTTGTAGGGCTGCTGATAATTAAGATCATGGATTTTTACAGAGTTTAGTCTCACTCTTTTGTAGGTTTCTGACTTCGGCCTTGCAAAGCTAGCTCTCGACTGTAACACACACATTACAACTCGGGTTATGGGAACATTTGGGTAGGTGGTGGTTATGTCATGTATGACATTTCTCATGAGGAGAAAAACTTCTCTCTGTATGTATTGCAAATCTTGCATTTAATAAACGATTGGTGTAATATTTCAGCTACCTGGCTCCTGAATATGCATCAAGTGGCAAATTAACCGAGAAATCAGATGTTTTCTCCTATGGCGTTGTTTTACTGGAGCTAATCACTGGACGTAAGCCTGTGGATACATCCCAACCTCTGGGAGATGAGAGCCTTGTTGAATGGGTATGGCATAATTAAGTATTTAAACTTTTGAGAATGGAACTGTTTCTTAAATCCTACGTGTGCATTGAAATGTTTCAGGCTCGTCCTTTGCTTAGTCATGCCATTGAAACCGAAGATTTTACAGCTTTAGCAGATCCCAAGCTGGATAAAAACTACGTGGGTGTTGAAATGTTTAGAATGATTGAATCAGCTGCAGCTTGTATTCGCCATTCAGCCACGAAGAGACCTCGAATGAGTCAAGTACTGACCATTTTCTTTAAAAAATCATTAATTTTTCTTCTTCTTTCCGATTCGAATCTCACATAACAAGCTCTTAACTGAAAATTCTTACAGATTGTGAGAGCTTTTGACAGTCTAGCTGAGGAAGACCTCACCAATGGGATGAGACTAGGCGAAAGCGAAATCATCAACTCAGCTCAGCAGTCTGAGGAAATTAGATTGTTTAGGAGAATGGCTTTTGGCAGCCAAAATTACAGTACAGATTCTTTCACTCGTAGTAGTAATATAAGCAGAGATGAAAACGTGTAAATATCAACAACAAAACACATTGCATGATGATTTTTCCGAGAAAGAGATCTCAAAGCAGAACCTTCATCTCTTGATTAACTTCAAATTTGGATCCTCTGTTTCATCTTGACCTAAAGAATTGAAGAAAGAGGGAGTTTGGGAGATAATGTGGATGAACACATTTGCAGAGATTATGCATAGTTATTTCTATTCTTAAAACATATCTCAAAGCATGACCATTTTCAAGTTCCAATGGTTCCTCTTGTCCAAAAATCTGTGGATGAACCAGAAGAGAAAAGGGAAGAGTTAAATGTAATGTTGGACATAAAAGATTGTTTCATTTTTTCATCTGGCTCTGATGTAACTGCTTGTAATCACGTCCTCTCATTGTCATGCTAATAATAAATCAACAAGCTTCTTTTATGTTATCACCAAACTTTTCATTACGTGTGTCAGTGGTGTCACTGTCACATGATACACATCTGGTCAAATGACTCGATTTGCCAAATGCAATATGAGAAAAGACCGATTTTACCCTTTTCCGAACAACATTCATGTTTAGGAATAGTCTCAAAGGGAACAAGAACTTAAACAGCTACAGTTCTTTTGACGTCCAAGATTCCTAAATATGCCGGTAAATATGTCTCAAACCCCATGTGATACATCTCAATAATATCTCTGTTTATCTATTCTATCTCTCTAACCTTGCAGTTTTGTGCATATCAGAGTAATGGAAGAAGATTGTGGTGCATTTGCGGCAGACTGTGTTGTCCTGTCATGTTGCTGTCAGTGCCTTGTCTTACAAGTCAGTGTCTTCGTCTTCTTCAAGATCCCATGTAAACTTGCCAAGAAGATGAAGAAGTTTGTGAAGAGAAGATGTCGGAAGACCTTGCAACCGACAATGGAGGACGTCAAAGAGGAGCACTGTTCTAGAAATGGGTTTGCCTTTGAAGTAGTCTCAACAAGATCAGATTGCTTCGACGACATTGAAGGAATGTTACAGGAGCGGTCGATGAACAAAGGGTTCTTGTTTGGAAGCTTCTGGCGCCACGAAGATGCTTCTGACATTTTCGATTTCAAATAACAGCAAAACATAAATAATTGTTTGCTCGTCGTCTTCATGCATCCGGCTGTGTTATTTAATCAAGAATCCAGAAAATAAGCGTTAAGGAACACAAGAGCAAGTCTCATTTCTCAAAAGATCAGAAAAAGAGATTATAAAAAAGGTTGTATTGTATATCTCTAAATGCTCTTATCTAATAGATGTAAAATCTTCCACTGCTTTCTAATATAATTAGATGTTTCTTGTCATACAAAATTACAAACTCTGTAAACTCTTGTTTTACTTTTACCGGACAAGGCTGCAGGAATAAGAATTTACACCTTTATGTAGCCTCTGTTCTTCATAAAGTCTTGTAACGATCTACCTTTTTTTTAATCCTCCAGTCTATAGTTTGATTGGTCTTATTTACATCCTGCAAAGAAACTAAAACTCAAATAATCTGAGGAGATAAAAATTGGTATTCGTCCATCAGATGTCAAGATTCTGGCTGATGAGATCTCATGACCGATGTAGGCCTTACTGATCTCTGCCTCCCCATTTCAAAGTTCCCAGAGTTGCTGCACTGATCCTCGTATCTAAGCAGCTGTATGGTTCCATGGGACATTGGGAAAAACCTCATCTGAATAGCAGAGAAGATGAAGTATGGCATCATCGTCGATAGCGCTACAAAGAGAGTGGTCATCCAGTAAGAAGGTGCAGGCGCAAGAGCTTCAAGAAACACCATATGGGCATCTGTAGATAGTCTTATTGGAAGAGATCCGTACACCATCAGGAAAATGTACCATATAACAACAGATCCCCAAATGACGATATGTTGGATCAGTGTGAAGTAACTGATCGTCAATACCATCTGCAAACTCACAACCCACACCACACATGTGTACATCGTTCCCCCAAGAATATCTCTCCCTGCGGTTTTCCCTTCGTGGTTGAAAGCTTGAGATTCAAGAGAACTTTTGCAGAGAAAGAAAATCATTATTGCACTGCAGAAGCCATGGAACATCCAGCTGAGTATTCGGCGCCAACTAAAAAGAAGATTCTGTACACCTTCTTGATACAATACGGGGAACTGTGACAGACAACACAGCAAGACTTTGGTTATGAAATTCACTTGACTAGTGAAAGATTAAGCAGCTGTTTTGATTTGAATGACTATATTACCTTGAGACAAAACAGCGCAGATACATCCTGGTCGAAGATGCCTAAACATATCACAGGAAGAGATGTGAAAAAGACGCTATATAGAGATAGATACCAGTCATTGTAAGCCGGTGTCGCTGAGAATGATGTGTATGCCTCATATAAGAAGAGAGTGAAACCAAATGTAATGTTCTTGTAGAAGAAATAACAAATCTGCATATAAGAACAGACAACTACTGAGAAAACTAAACAGAGTGAAGGAAAGTGTTTCTGAAGGTCAGCGTCAATCTAAATTTGTATATTATACTTACCATTTTTGAGATTCGTCTGTAACACCAGTGTCCATGGACTAGTAACAACCGCTCCAGATATCTGAATTGAGCAATGGCAATGTCGCTGGACATTACAGCCTGGAAAATTATAAGGATTAGTGAAGGACAAATATAACCAATAAAAGCTGAAAACAGTTGTTTTGTAATTCTTTTGTCGAACCTGCATTCCTTCCACGCCACTGATCCCAACTCCTATATCTGCTTCCTGAAGCATTCCAACATCATTTGCGCCATCACCAATTGCCAGTGTAGTCTGACGGCTTCCAGTTTTGACTAGTCTTGTTACCTATGCAATATAAGTTATGAAAAAACGTAGGCAGAGAAGTATATGACAATTGTGATGGAAGATAAAGTAAGAACTGACCAGTGCCTTCTGTTTTGGTGATGAACGGCAGCAAATCACTGAAGCGCAGCCAATGGCCAGCTCAAGGAAGATGCCTTTCATATCTTCCTCCAATGCATAAGCAAGTGATTTTCCATCAATTATTAAAGCAAGAGCCTTAGAGTTTCCACTAGATGCTTTCAGCTGAGCCTTTCCATTAGTTATCTGACACAGTACATTTTCCTTTAAAGCCTGCAAAAAATAGCCCAATGGATATTGTTCATCTACACAATCACGAGTAATACTACTCTATTCCCATCATATCATTATTCCACAAAATTGTAATACCTCTGCAATGGCATCTTTTTCTCCGGATTTTTCCAACTGCTGGATCTCAGGGGTCTCCAAATTAATTATGATCTGCTTCATGTCTCGTCTGAGCAAACTACAAGCAAAGCTGTCAAAGATACACATACACATGTGGGTTCAGACTCAGAGAGTGACTAAGATAGTATGCACAAGGCTCAAGAGTAAATATAATCTGGTTTTACCCAGAAAATAATACCCAATATTGATAGCAGTCTCCATCTTGTCACCAGTCAAAACCCAAATCTTGATTCCTGCTTGAGCAAGCTTATCAATGCAATCAGGGACCTAAATGAAAGGTAAGAGAAAGAGAGAAAATAATTTCAATTTTCATGTCCGACAATGGAAAACTCGTCAAACTATAAATTAGCTTACCCCATTTTGAAGTTTATCCTCAACAGCAGTAGCTCCAAGAAGAACCAAGTTTTTCTCAATCTTATCTGTTACTTCGTCTATCAGTGCTTCTCGGTCAGCACTAACTGAATTCTTGGCTTCACTGATTCTCTCAGTGAACACCTCATATTCATTCTTGTCGAGTTCACGATAGGCAAGTATCAAAGTTCTCAATCCAGCATCAGCATACTCGTTCACATGGTCCCGGGTTTCCTTTTCATACTTTCTACCGCTTTCGGAAAGTCTTTCAAACATGACACTGGACGATAAACGAAGTTCAAACTTAGTTCAAAAAGATATTTATATCTGAGTTTCTAGAGTCGGTAACCATACCTGTCTGCCCCTTTACAAAGTAAAAGCAGTTTGCCATCTTGATCCTGCACTATTACTGACATCCTTTTCCTTGAGCTACTGAATTCAAGAACGTTCAGGACTTTATACAACCTGCAAAGGTACACACTCACTAAAGTAAGAATTGGACAGAAGCTTCTGATGGTATACATTAAATAAGAGAAGATGAACCGACCTTTCAACTCGTTCCCCAGTCACCAGGTCTAGCTCTCTGACGGATATTGTTGTTTGAGTTCGAGTGAAAAATTCAAACCCCAGCTCCCTTGCTGCAATAACAAATGCTGCCTCATCCGGAGATTCAGCCTCGTAGGAGATGTTTCCTGTATCTTCATCCACTTCAGGTATAACGGTATGGCATACTGCCAATAATTGAAAGAATTTCTGAATGACATCAGCATGCGTTTCCGTAACCCACTTTCCATCCATTATCCTTTCATCTCTAAAGTTGAATCTTTTCACAGCCCGTTCTGCAGCAACAACATCCTCGGTACTAATGCCATTGCTCTGATTCACCATAGCCGAACCTTTTCTCCTAACCATAGCGATATCCACCTCTGTTACACCACGTCCATAGGCTGTCCCAGCAATAGAACACTTGATGAACTCCATGGAGTTACAAGTCAATGTTCCAGTCTTATCTGAAAGAATTGTACCCACTTGCCCAAGTTCTTCATTCAGATTAGAGGTACGTGCATGCGCTGGTTTGTCCGCTTCCTCATAATACATATGGATATCCTTATTGATGAAGATACTCTGAAGAACTTTTACAATTTCTATTGACACATACAAGGATATAGGAATAAAATAACTGTTTAACATTAGCGCTGTTAGAAAGTGAAACATTGCAGCCATAGGCACCCTCTTCGGGTCAAAGAAGATGCTGGAATCATCCGGTTTCAGATACCATCTTGTCATTACGCCATTCTGAAAATCTTCTCTCGTTGAAATTCCAAACAATATCGAACCAAAGAATGCTAATGAAACTACCATAAGGAACATCAGGTATATAATTTTATCCATCTTCCTCTCGATCATGCTTCTCTTAGACGGAGGGTCTGTTGAATTCTGGACAACTTTTGTATCAGGTCCTGTGAAGATAACAACCCCATAGATATAGTCTGTGTTCCTGAGTTTTGAGCCCCTCAGAAGAAGCTGCTGTGGTGAGAGAGGGTACATTGCTCCCATAAGCTCCATAGTACCAATAAATGAGTACAAATTAGCATTCGGGTCTTCACATTTGATAAAAGCCTCAAAGTCCCTGAAATTGAGCTCTTCACGCAATGACAACGTTACTTCTAGTCCTTGTTTAAGTTTCAGATTTGTTTCCCCGTCAAGGTTCATTGTCTCCACATAGCAAACAGCATCCTCGTAGCTAGAAGAAAGCAGGACAAGGTCTGCCGGAAAAAACTCGTTTTTCTCTACCTTCAATATATCCCCAACTCTTAGTGTCTTCCATTCCTTAAAATCGAAATTCCCATTGCCTCGGTGAACTCTAACTTTTCTGTTATTCACCTCAATATCCTAAAAACATGGAATTTCCAGATGATGAGATAGATCTACAAATGAAAAATAGAGTGATCCAACCTAATGCAAAAGCAAGGAAACAATGTCAACCCCCAGTTCTGAGCTATGTAACTTAATCCAACGTAGAACTACAGATTCGGAACAAAATAACAAACAATGTTTAGACACAGAGCATCCTATTTAAATCATCCAGTCCAACTCTAATCAATCAACAACCACTCAGACAAAATCAATAAAAGTACCTGCTGTTTCCGGCGCCAATCTTCTACACCCTCTTTAAACATAGTAGCGAGAATGACGAAAGTCAGAGGAACAATGGCGCTCACAGCGGTATAAGGGGCAAGAGGAGTAAAAGACAAGATCCCAACAACAAGGAAGTAGAAGTTGGCGACTCTCCTGAACTGCTCAAACAATGATTTAGGGAGGAAAGTGGCGAGAGTGTACTTGGTAGTCCTCACATAGTTGTCACAGTAATTTCTCGATTCAGCATCAGGGGAATCAGGTTGGTTACAGGAAACCACACGAGAGAAACCAGATCGTCCAATTTTCGAATGGTCTGGCTTGAAACAAGCTTTAGCACCTGTTAATGTGAAAAGCTTGCTTAACAGTATCTTCCTTTTGCGTCTCCTTCCACTCCCTGATGCCATTGTCTCTCAATCCAACACCTGAGTGGCAAAGAAAGAAAAAGAATCAGAATTTCTAAAACCCTGAAATTAAAGTAATGTATTTTTGAACTGTAAAAGTATTCAATAGGAGCAAAAAAGGTTAAATTTTGATGCGTCTGAAGAGCATTACACTGAAGAAAGTTGGATTTTTTTGGCTAATTGAATTGCAAAACCGACGATGACATTTGAAAACAAAGATACATAAAAAAGCAAATCGTTGAAAGAATAAAACTTTGGGGGAAATGGACACAGAGAGAAGAAGAAGAAGAAGAAGAAGAAGAAGAAGAAGAGAGTATAATAATACCTTTGATTGTGTCTGTTCCACCTCGTTAGTTTATGTGTCCCTTCACCTTTTCATTTTCCGAGAAACTGATAAAATTTCTCGGAAAATTTGGTAAAGAGACAAGGAATCTAGTGGGTTAAAAGTTAAGATTTTAAGAAATTATAGAAAGAAATCTGAAGATAGAAGGCTGAAAAAATCTGCAAGATTTTAATCTGTAATCTTAATTTGGAAATGGTGGGTTTTAAATGCATGAAACCAAAAGTCTTGGGTTTTTTTTAATGCATGAACTTAAGGTATTGGAAATTAAGAAGTTTTTTCAACATTTATTGACTTTTGATTGGTTGACCCATTCCGAAATGAAGATTTCGTTTTCGCGAATCCGTAAATGCCAAGATTTTCTTGCAAAATATCAATCAGCTTTGATAATATATCAAAATCAATTCTCCAATAAAAATCTATTATTTGTTTTCAAAGAAAACTGGAGATGTGTGTGAAGAATGAAAGATCATGCCAACAACGTTAAAGAAAAAAAAACAAAACGAGAGTTTTAATTACGCGCACATTAACCAAAACAAAAGAACAAAAAAGAAGGATTGTTCTTCTAGACAAAGACAAGAAGTACCATGATTTGTCTGCAAAGATCTAACATGAGTTTACTCTAAAGAAACAAAAGGGAAAAGTAGTAGATTTTATTTTAGAATTTTAAAACCATTAGTGTCAAACAAGGTTAAAACACCAGATGAATGATCAAACCCCTAGAAACTGATTAATCAGTTCTCTGATTTGTCTTTTAAGAAAGTTTTTTTTATAAAGAAGTTATTTGCTTCCATTATATAATTAGAAGGGTGATCTTTTTAATATGGAAGTAAAAGAAAACAGTTTTCTTTAAAAAATTGATGATGTAAATACACATCTCATGGTATCAAAACATAATATATACTCCATCCTCTATGCTCCTCATGGTGTCTCTCTCCTCCTCTTTGTAGTCTAGTGTTAGGTATTCTAATCAATGGTTGGTTCGTGTTTCGTGTAGTGTAGCAGAATGTATAATTAAACCATGTCATGTGTTGCTTGGGGAAGGTGCACTTCTCAGTCAGTTGTAGTATAGTAGTCATTTCACGATTGAACAAGTGTGACTAGAAGTCTGAAATAAATAAACTGAGAGAGATCTAAGCTAAATACAACAAAAATAATAATCCAATGGGTCTTCATTAGAAACGAAACCATACTAATTTGATGATGATTGGAGTAAATTTAACAACTAAATATAGTTAAATTAACCATATGATCTTTTTTTTTTTCCTTTTGCGCCGTTGGCTGATTCGCACTAGACTTGGAAGATAGAAAGAAGAACACACTTGTGGGGGATAATACTTTGTCTGGCAAGGTTCCTCCATACTGGGAGTACCTATGAGACTCAGCACATTACGTCCTCGTGTGTTCTCGATTTGATTGTTCATGCATTACACCTATGTGTAGCTCTGGGGAATGAGGATAATCTTCAATAATAGTATTTGTTTTTCTTTCAACATCTGCCACTGTACCTTACCAGAAGATTCATCCTCCGAAGATGGATGATTCGTATATTTGCAACAACTCCTTGGTAAGTAGTAGAAGCAAATATACATCGTTTGATGAAGTATTAAAGTTCGTGACAAGAAATACCAAACAAAACTTCCAAAACTTATATATAAACCAACAAAACCGTAAACATATGTCGGAAGAGTCCATTTGGTTCATTGCGGTTAACTGAAGACATTTCCAATTTTGTCGTCTCGTCTCCACTTTGTAATGCTTTCCGATTTCGCCGGAAATTGAAAAGGAAACCTAAAATTAGCCAAAAACGGATCCATCAGGGGGGGGGGAAAAGTGAGAAAATGCCGTCGCAGATTCTCCAAATCTCACATCTTCCACCTAAATCCTCACCATCCACCGAAATGATGTTCAAGTCTTTGATTTACGACGATCCTTCAACGACCCTCCTCTCTTCTTCTTCTTCTCGATTTAATGATGACCACTCCATTTCTTCTACCGTTAAGCCTCTCCTCTCCCGCGCTTCCAGCTACAACGGCGCCGTCACGCCCAATAATAATAAGGGTGGTGGGTTAACTGGTTGGTATCAGAACAGACGGCGACGATCCAACAGCGATAACTGTCTCTCTGCGTTTCCGGATCATACTAATGGAAGCGACGGTGGTAATAGCGGCGATCGTCAAACTATTGGTCAGGAGGTTGGCCACGCCGCTGCTGAGACCTTCTTGTTGACTCGTCTTTGTTTGAAGCTCCTTAGCTATCTTGGGTATCTATCTATTTCATTCTTTTTTTTTAGATCCGTTCTCTGTTACATTTACTGAATCCAACGAAACTGGCTCTTGGATCTTCTTGGGGATTTCAAAAATGTGATCTTTTGTTTGCAAAAGGTTATTGATTTGATTGATTACTGATAAAGTAAACTATTTCTTCAGGGTAGGTTATAGATGGATTACAAGATTTATGGCACTTGGCTGTTATGCATTTCTACTAATGCCTGGCTTTATTCAAGGTTTGTTATGCAATTAATGGTTGGATCTACTACTAATTAGTCTTTTTTTATGAGTTAGTAACCATAACTTTCACTGCTAAAGGTTTGGAGTTTACCTTGCAGTCGGATATTACTATTTCTTCTCTCCTTATGTTCGCAGAAGTATAATTTACGGTGATCAACCAAGAAACAGGTCATAGATGTTTACTGGTTTTGTTCATGTTTAGCCCCACTCTAAATGTTTGTAGATACTTTACATTTTGTTTGTTGATATGATATAAATTGGATTTTTTGTTTTGTTTTCTTTAGGCTTGACTTGTATCTACCTAAGAACTCCAATGGTCCAAAACCAGTTGTGGCGTTTGTGACTGGTGGAGCCTGGATTATTGGGTGAGTATGGTTCCCCATAAACACTATTTTCAACCTTATGCGATGAGAAAGAGGTAAGAGAACTGAATATGTCCTTACAGAATGTCTTGTGTTGATACAGTTATAAGGCGTGGGGCTCTCTTTTAGGACAGCAGTTATCAGAAAGAGATATTATTGTGGCATGCATAGATTACAGGTAATTATGCGTGTTTTTTTTTTCTTTTCTACACAATTAATGTTGTGGTTTCCTGTCATATTCGGATATTCCATTAGTTTTCTATTAGAGTTTCTTGATCTCATTGCCAATTTATCCTCTCGCAGGAATTTTCCGCAGGGATCTATTAGTGACATGGTCAAAGATGCTTCTTCGGGCATCTCATTTGTTTGCAATCATATTGCTGAGTATGGAGGTGATCCAAACAGGTATTAATCCTGTCAACTGTTATTAGACATGGAAGTTTTCAAGTTTTAGAGTTCGTGCTCACTGTTCTGATTTTTTTGTGGTGTAGAATATATCTGATGGGTCAGTCTGCTGGTGCACATATCGCGGCTTGCACCCTTGTAGAGCAGGTCATTAAAGAGTCAGGGGAGGGGGATAGTGTCTCTTGGAGTAGTGGACAAATAAATGGTTATTTTGGTCTATCTGGAGGGTAAGCAGGATCCTTTCTTTTGTTCCGGAGCTCAAATAACAGTTGTTAGGACAGTGAACATACATTGGAATTCAGAGATGTATCAAGAAGTTGTTAAAAACAAGTTTCTTTACTTGCCTGAGTATGCATCTATGTTTAGCTCCAGTTTTTATTTAGCCACCATGGTCTTTTGTAGAAATGCTTGGCAATTGATAGAACCCTGAGGAAATGGTCATATATTGGCGTAAAGAAGCAAGTAGATTCCTGCCTTGTATCCAACTAAAGCCAAATTAATTTTAATGGCTGGCCTTACATCATCTGTTTGTCTATTCTTAACAAACTTTGTGATCTTGATCGACAGGTACAACCTTTTGAGCCTTGTGGACCACTTCCATAGCAGGGGGCTGTACCGTTCCATCTTTCTAAGGTATAATACTTTCACTTTTTAAAATTTGGTATAGCTTACGCTACTCACCTGGCCAGTAGAGCAGCCTGGAATTTTACAGTCTTACGTGTGACTTTTGTTTTCCCTCAGTATCATGGAAGGAGAGGAATCATTGAGGCAGTATTCTCCTGAACTAGTAGTGCAAGACCCAAATCTCAAACACATTGTTTCTCGTCTCCCACCTATTATCCTGTTCCATGGTACTGCTGACTACTCCATCCCTTCAGATGCAAGGTATGCGTAAACTTTTGTAACCTTGTGTGTACTTGTCTATCTCATGTAATTCAGACAGTTGATATGATGATTGGACTTCTGGTCATTATCTCTGCAGTAAGTCTTTTGCGGAAACCCTCCAGAGGCTTGGAGCGAAAGCAAAAGTGATCCTTTACGAAGGGAAAACTCACACAGATTTGTTTCTTCAGGTACACAGGCATGTCTTTTGAGATCTGAATCTCTGGTCGTACAAGAACTTGAGTTTTGATATAGAAACTTGGTTATCTATGGCAGGATCCAATGAGAGGTGGCAAAGACGAGATGTTTGAAGATATAGTATCAGTAGTTCTGGCAGAAGATCAAGAAGCGGCTGGTAAATGCGTAGACAGAAGGCGTCTTGTGCCTGAATTCATGTTGAAGTTGGCTCACTGGGTCAGTCCGTTCTAACTCCGGCATTCTTATCTCTAAAAAGCCTTCTTTCGAGATACTGACGGACCAGTGTTTATATTACTTAACAAGGAAGCAGATCCACTATACTTTAACTACACATGTTTGAACTTTGAATATGAGTAATTAATGATATTGTATTCCAGTTTGCAATACACTCATTCACAGTGTGTTATTGTAACAACAAAGTGCATTAAAGAAACAAGTCTTTATTGACTTTGTCTCATTTTACTATCTTTGGTCTTCTCCAGTTCTCCGTTCTTCTCTGGTCATTCATGATTGGTTGTACCTATTTCTGGGCAGCAGTTGACTCTTCGGCCGTTACACAATGTGCCAATCCGAAGTCATTAACCAAGAAGTTACAAGAAAAAAAAAGCCATACGAATTAGAACTGTTCGTAACTCTATTGCACTCCACTACTTAAGATCCAACTGTTTAATGTACAGGATATCAATAGAGGCAAGGAACTAGATAGATGAAAAGAAGAAGAAAAGTCATATGCAGAGGTTTTCTGCCAGCACACAGTAGTTCAAAACAAAGCAAAACGAGACCAAAGTGTGTTTTGATAGTAGTGTGTCTTAACCAGTGTTCCTCATTCCAGCTGCAATACCGTTAATGGTGATGAGCAATGCATCCCTGAGCTTATTGTTGTCATCATCACGTCTTAGCCTCTTGAGGATCTCCACCTGCAGCATGTTCATGGGGTTCAAATACGGAAGTCTACTCTCTATCAGCTTTTTCAGGCTCCGATTATTCTCCGAGAGCTTTTCATGGCCGCTTATCACAAGCACATACTTCTCAGTAGTCAGCAATTCCTTTCTGAGCTCGCTACCAATTCCTCTTCTGTTCTCTGAGACAAGCTCTTCATCGTAGTGTTTGGCTATTGGGATATCTGCTTTAGCTAACACCATCTCTATAAGGTCTATGGTCGACTGAAAGAAGGGCCATTCTTTGTACATTTCTTGGAGATCATCAGCGTGGCCCTTCTCACAGACTCCTTTCAAACCAGCTCCTACACCGAGCCAGGCTGGAAGGACAAACCTTGTTTGTGTCCAGGCGAAAACCCAAGGGATAGCTCGGAGATGTCCTATTCCTGAAGAGCTCTTTCTTCTTGTTGGCCGACTTCCTATGTTGAGGAAACCAAGCTCAGCCTGAGGTGTTGCCTCTTGGAAGTAGGAAAGAAATTCTGGGCTTTCATAGACCGTGCTCCTGTAGTTTTGGCAGCTGATGTTTGAAATATCTTCCATTAGGCTCCGCCAATTTTCTTCTCGTGGTGGCTGAGGAGGCTGCAATGTAGCAAGTAGCACCGCGGTTGTGTAAATTTCTAGCTGCCTAACAGCCGTCTGTGGTAACCCAAACTTGGCTTGCACCATCTCACCTTGCTCTGTGGAACGGAGAGTACCCTGCAAAGTAAATGCAAGACTGAACGTGAGGACTTTGGCTGAAAAGAGAAAGACTGCCCATAAGTGTGTAATAACTTACCATTACAGACCCTGGAGGTTGGGATTGTATGGCAAGATAAGTTGGGCCACCACCTCGGCCGATACTCCCTCCTCGTCCATGGAATAAGGTAATTTTGATTCCAAATTCATTGCAAGCAGCCACGACATCCTCCTGAGCTTTGTAAAGTTCCCATGCTGCAGTAAAGCGTCCAGCATCTTTTCCAGAATCCGAATACCCAACCATCACCTGCACATAAATAAGGATGCAAATATTTTCAGACAGAGCATACTCCAAACAAAGAATTGGTTGAAGTCAAGTATATCTACCTCTTGATGACCGGTGTGGTTCTTTTGGATGTGTTCCCTGTACCAATCGATTGATAGCAATTTTCTTATCACGGAGCCAGCGCCTCTCAAATCCTTCACAGTTTCAAAAAGAGGCACCACACGCAGTCTATCAAAAAAGAAAAATGTCAGTATACCAATAACTTATGCCATACAAAAATAAGAGACTAGATAATAACTTCCAGAAGAAGTAACTAGTATGCAGAGGGAAAAGTGATTAACAATGAAGTATTCCGGCAAGAAATTAAACTCACGGTCCAGCAGGACATGGTCTTCCCAGCTCGCCACTGACGGCAAGACGAGCATCCTTCTGCAGAAGCTCCACAGCGAGGACATCGCTTGCCTATAAGTAGCCAAAAATCAATGTCATCTGCTACTCATCCAAGTTAGCTTCAGCAAAGAAGTGACTATGAAACTTAAAATCTTTCATACATTTGAAGCCATAGAAATCACGTAAGCTCCAAGTGATTCACTTCCTAGCTCAGCAGCAACCCGGAAGGTATCTAGTACTTCTTTTACTTCAAGACCAACCTGAAAAGGTTCAACAGTTTTCATAATGGTGTTAAACACACAAAAATACAGATGTGACCAGAGAGTACTTTTCTATCATAATATTGGCCTTCCGCCTTCCCTAGAGAAACAGATATGTTATTAATTAAACCATTTGGTTTAACAGTAAGATAAACTGTAACTACTGATTGAAAATCATAATTTCGTTTCAGATACATGAGCCTAACGTAAAGAAGAAATTCACACTGAGTGTTACCTCAATATTTGGAGGAACAAGGGGTCGTTTGCCTTTCAATTCTCTTGTCAAAAACTCGATTTTCTTCCCTTCATCCCATTCACTATATGTACCCATGTCCAAGTATGTCGTAATTGCATCCAAAGCTTCAGAATGCCTTGCAGCTTCCTGATAAACGAATCTAGATCAGACAGGTATCATAGAAATAGAGCCAAAACAAGAAGGAAAAGAAACACACCTGGCGCAAATCAAGTTTCATCAAAACCATGCCAAAGGTAGCAACTCTACGAATCAGATCAGAAAGCCGGCCATCGGCTAATACTCCGGCATCAGATGATTGCTGAGAAAAGAATGAATTTCATGTATGTAGTTCATCAGTTTTAATGCAAAGACAATTTCGCATGAAGCAAGATCGTACCAGAGATTCATAGCAGAGGAGTAGCGGTTCTAGAAGTTGGTCTGATGTTTCATAGTAATCCCAGGGATCGTATTCACAAGGGAGACCTTCAAGAAGAAGTTCCAGAAGTCTCCGTGTCTTCAGAAGCTGTAGTCACAGATCACTATGTTTAAGAGTCCTTTTACACAAGATAATAGAGTTAATCAAGATGGTTGTAAATTTGTGCTAGTGAGAAGACTAGCAATGTATTTACAAATAGCTATAAAAATGCCCTTGACAATTAGACATGAACTCTTTCACATTTTTTGCAACTCTAAATCGGCTCTTTGCATGAACTTAATGAGAAAAATTTAGAAAGATCAGCACCTTTTCCTTTACTTCTCCAAGAACAATCCGATAAGGAGCAATTCCAGCTCGTTTTGGTGGAGTTGGTTCTAGTAGCTTCTGAAAACTGGTCCTCCCATTCTGAGACTCCGCAAATAGTTTCTTGTGAAGAAGTTGAGAACTCGAGGAAGAAGAACCTCGGGGAGTAAGACTTTGCTGAGAGCCATTAGAGTTGACAGAAGTTCCGTTTGATATCCTTATTTGCAAACTTTGGCCTGAGCCATTACTAGAAATGCCCTGAACATCCTATTTTAAGTAAGAAAATCAAACGAACTATCAAAAACAGACAAACTCAGCAAGAGTATATTCCAATACTGGATACAACCATAAAGAACAAACAAGTCAAACATCTGTCAGAGTCTTTAAAGCTATGCTTCACCTGACGATTGAGTGGCATATAATCTGTCACAGGAACTTCAAGTTTGGGATACTGCGATTCACCACATTCTGCAAGTAGGACATTGGCAACTTAGTAAGATGAGGCGTGACTCGTGAGTATAGAAGAAAATCTGTACGCATGCTTAAATATAAGAAGAGGGTAGCCTATGCATGACATTGTTTACCAGCGCATGAGGGGAGGTCAGCTCTAGGTGGAAGTTGAGTGGGTAGAGATAAGCCCTGATGGCTTGGAAATATTTGTTGGCTTTTACCAGCATTTGGACCCCAACTTTCAAGGTGATCTTCAGATGCTTCTGAGAAAAAAAAATTACATCTTGAAGTTATATGTTCTCAAGAATCAAGAATCAAGAAAAAAACAGGGACGTGAGACGTCCCCCAGTAGCATACCTTTTTCAAGAATTTCATCTGCCAATCTTGACAATCTATCGCTGCATCGATTCATAGACAATTCAAATCTTAAGCTATCGATCTCTCTTATGTACAGATCAATAGCCATCCACCTAGACATTAGTGATACTTCTTTGGTGACCTGAAAAATTATTGATAATAACCATGTGTGTTAGCAAGTTAATCCTACTATCTCTCCATACCTACCAAATAGTAACCCTATCTTAAAGAAAATGTAGAAATGCCAGGCAAAGCTCGCATTCTCGCCCATACATAAACTGATTATTCAGGGGAAAATAACAAATAATGAAGGGTCACCTTCGCCGTAACACTTGGATTTCCATCTCTATCACCACCCATCCAGGAACCAAACTTTATTGGGGTGCAAGTTAATGGGAGTGGCTTCCCCGTGAGCTAAAGAGGACACATGGAATATCATTGTATCAGTATACAGTCACTTTAGCATTCAATATTTACAATAAATGAGAAAAACAAGTAAAACCTTCTTCAGCGAACTGCTGACACGATGCAAGTAATGTGGTACAGCTTTCCAAAGGGATTGCTCAACAATGTTCAGACCTGACACAAGGGAATAACACATGCTTGGAGCAGAACCTTGGTTTATCAAAGTAAAGTCCAGCATTTACGAACTTTAAGTTAGCATACCAGCCCTAGCTTCATCAACAGGAGTAGGTTTCTGACGTCGAAGTTCATCAGTCTGCCACAGTGAAGTTATCTCCCTAACCTTTTACACGAAATGAAATTGTTAGCTATACTACTTATCTCAGCAGAGAGACTCGGGAATATATTAAGGAAGATAGTACCAGATCCTCAATAACCGTTTCTCGATCTTCAAGTCCAAGGTCTGGTCTATCGTTATATTCTAGAAGATGCTGCAAGTAGTATCTTATTTCAATTCAAAAGTACAAAAACCAAAAACCTAAGATTGTTTGCAACAAGTATAACAATCAACGTCAGCATTAGCAACAACTTACAGCTATTCTAATATGTTTGTACTGCAAGGTTCGCCGGTTGATTTGAGTGGGGTGTGCAGTAAGAACAATTTCAACCCCCTGTATTGGATAAAGTTTAGTAAGCAAAAAAGTACTAAACTAAGAATTAGGAAACTGGCTTT